TTTTGCATTAAAAGCCTCGAGCAGCAGGTGCCCCATTGGCCCACCTCTCTGCAGAAGTCCTGGGATCTGGCATCTATGTAGCAGCTTTATAGGGGCAGCTCTAAGTGTGCACAAATCCAACTGTGGTGTCCCCATCAGTTCACCTCTACATACCATGCAACTGCTGCCCTATCATAAGTCCCACGAAGTCTGGGCACAGGGCAATAATATCTTCTCACTTGAAGAAATTTTTGTTTGTATTAAAAATTACCCATGTCGTCAAGTTTTTTAAGAAACTTGTATTTTTTAACTAGTCTCTGCTTTACCCTGCAAGGCAGGTAGGGGGCACTACTCCCTCATCCTTAGGAAGCAGGAGCAGCCACTGGCAACTAAGGGTTGTCCCTGTCATTAAATACAAGTTGAAATTCACCCATTTGCTGATTCTAGGAAGAGTCACTCTCGCCCCAGGCTTGTTCTCACATCAGAAATGGATAGATAATTTTCTGAGTTTCTCATACTGTAGCTATAGCAGATTACAAGCAGAAATTTTTAAAAGGCTGTCACTAAAAGCAGAAGGAAGCAAAGACTACCAGGCCAACAGGAGATTTTCAAAATAAGTAGCAGACATCCTAGGACTTTTAAAAGCAGCATTCTAGGGCTGGGCTATAGCCTGGTGATAAAGCACTTCCCTAGCACACATGAGGCTCTGGGTTTGACCCCCCCCCCCATACTGGAAGGGAAAAAAAACAAGCATTCTATGTCTGAAGGGTCAAACAACCTTCTCATCCACTGTTCCTTTTGCATTAGAGCCCTGTATACTTTCAAGTTTACATAGAAAAGGAAATTATGTTCCACATGTTCTGGATAAGAGGCCCAGAAAATGTGCAATATATGTAGGATTGCCAACAGAAATCACACGTGGGCTGGGTGAGGTGGTGCACACTTGTAATCCAGTGACAGGAGGCTAAGGCAGAAGATTGCAAGTTCGAGGCCAGCCTCAGGAACTTAGCAAGACCTATGTCAAATAAAAATACAAAAATAAAAGAAGAGGCGATATGGCTCAGTAGAAGAGCACCCTGGGCTCAATCCCTAGTACCAAATATATATATATGTATACACACACACATACACACACATATATACATACATATGTGTATATATATGTATGTGTGTGTATATGTGTGTGTGTGTGTGTGTATATATGAATAATATATGCACTGTATCATTTAGGTGGTAAGAGACTGAATGATATTGGCATGAAGTTGAGTTTTTCTGATTATGAACCAAACATCTGGTTCCATGAGAGCTCAGCTCACACTGGGCCTGGGGAAGATGATACCCATAAAGTTGCACTTTGAGTGTTACACTGTTCACACCAGGAAGCACAGAGACACGAAAGAATATGACCACTTCACTGGGCCTACTACTTGGTCCTACTTCACTGATGTTGGGTACCAAGATTCCTTAAGGGAGTGTATGTGTCATAGTTTTGTTTATTTATTATGCCCCGCCTATTAGACTACTAGAAGTCTAGAAGTCCACTTCTAGACTTGCAGGATTCATTTTTGCAACCCCTGCTTCAGCATTTTCCCTGGCACCCTCAATCCACAATTCTTGAATGAAGAACATGGGACAAGGACAGCAATACAGGACAGTGTCTCAGCAAGTCCCAAGTTGCATGAAACTCATACATCTTCGGGAGATATCTTCTAAGATCTTCAATTGATGGAAATTAGAGATAATACTGAATCCCTACATATGCTATTCTTTCCTATGTATACAGACATATGATAAAGTTTAATTTATAAGTTAGCGATAATAAGAGATTAATAAAAATA